GAGAAGCAGCTGCAGAGGATCTTGGGCTAACATAGATTTTTTTTTTTTAACAATCATCACTTATATTGCTGTTTTGATTAAATATTACTCAATAGTAATATTGAGTAATTAAATATTACTATTGAGTAATATTTAATCCATGTGTTCTCCTTCATGTTTAGGTTGATCATAATTAGATTAAAACTATGCAGTTATCACCTCCCACACTAGTTTGATCACTTGTAACCAGGTTATCAAAACATGTGAAGGCCACTTCCTAGAAGGAAGTGATGTTTCCTACATTGTGTAAATTTATGCTCCGATGTTCAAGCCGATCTTGCTGCTCATCTTTGGTCCTCATGGGTCTTCCGTCACCGGTCAGACTTAAAAGGCTGTGAGGTCTAGTTGTAGTGGAAATTACAGGGAAAGCCAGTTGCTCTCATCTTGTTCTTTATATCCCGTACTCACGCATTTTCAAGCGACAGCCATGCTCACTCCAAGGAAAGCATGGATTAATTTAAACCTCTGCCTGGGATTCCAGTGGAGAATTTGTTGTGCTTACTATGACACCAGGTAGAACTCCAAGTTCTCAGTAAAAGTATACTGTGCTTTTTAATGTCCAAGGGGACATGGGAAGCAAGGCCCTGGGGTTAACATTTAACCGAAAACCAGCAATCCTGGGCCACAGCCCAAGTCAGAACATTGGCCTTGCTGTTCCCAAAGGTTTGCAGAACCCAACTTTTCAAATTGGATGAGGAAGTGGGACAGAAAAAACATATGTAAACAGATGTTTTAGAAGTTAGAAAATAAAGATCTTAAAATACCCGAAGCCCTGAGAAACTGTCTTGCTAAAATGTGACATAAATTGACTGTGTTCCCTTAACTGTGCCTGACTTCCTCACACAAGCTTTTAGCCACTTCTCAGGATCTGAGATCTAGAGCTGAAGCTGGAAGTCACGTAGATGTGTGTGTGTATGTATGTACATATGTGCATCGTGTGTGTGTATGTACATGTGTGTTTGTCATCAAAGGTCTTCTGGTGTTAAGAAGATCTTGAGTTCATCAATTGCTTGAGTCAGTGTTTGATGTTCTCTGAAGAGCAAGTCTGCCTCACACCTTAGAGCTGCTCTGCTTTAGACTGTGTATCTGGAGTTTCTACCTACTGAAACAACTGCTCAGTTAAGCCAAGGGTGGTAGGGGGAGGCCTTAATTAGCTTTTACTGCACAGTAATGATGTCTTCCCTTCATTTCTTATTGATGACTCTCTATTTTCCATTTCTTGGAAATAAGGTGTGTTTCCATGGCTGACAATTTCTATGAGTTTCTCCGTGCTGCTTAGTTATTTATGCTCTTTTACAAACTTGTTATTTATTTATTGCTGTGATAAGCTCGCATGTAGATAAGTTACATGAACCTCGTACATTGCACGGTCCCTGTAACCCAGAGGGCAGGAGGCAACCTTCTCTTATCCTAGGAAGAACTGAAGGCTCTTGAGAAGTTCAGTGGGCTGCCCTGAGCTTTTAGGAGGCTCAGTATCTAATCATCCCCACTCAGATCTGAAAACCTCAGAGGAGGATGAAAATATTTGCTTTGTGATGAGGCCTTCTAAGCTCATAATGCCCTAAGCAGCACAAAACATGAAGCTCATTCAGTTTCGGTGAAAAGTCAAAAAGAAAATAAGCAAAGGCCTTTGTACTAGTTAGTCCATGAGTTACAGGTTCTAACGTGCTTAAAAAACACAACTGAGATATAAAAGTCAGTTCCCATGAATAGAGTGAGAAAGTACATGGGAATTGTGTCCTTAAAATAAATGTGTGAGATTGAAGAAAGTAATCAAAGCCAGGCATGGTGGCACACAGCTTTGATTCCAGTTCTTGGGAGGCAAAAGCAGGTGGATCTCTGTGTGTTCAAGCCCATCCTGGTAGGGTAAATTTCAGGACAGTCAGGGTGGTTGCACAGAGAAGCCCTGTCATGAAAAACAAAAACTAAACAACAGAAGGAAGGAAGGAAGGAAGGAAGGAAGGAAGGAAGGAAGGAAGGAAGGAAGGAAGGAAGGAAGGAAGGGAAATAATCAAGGCTGTGTCTTAATTTCAAAAGCAAGTTGAAAAGAAAGAAAATGGTGATTTAAAATTTCTTTAATAAGCAAACTTTCAAGTAATAAGCAAAGATTTCAACAAACCTGAGGTGCAAGATGATCTCACTAGTACTTGAAACCCTCCCCCCCAAAAAAAAACCCTTTAATTCACTTCCACATACTTTCAAGCTTTCCCATACATGAAGACAGACATACACACAGACAGCAAAAAATGGAAAATAGAGATGAATATTCATCAATAAGAAATTAAGAAAAAGTTTCATTACTGTGAAGTAAAAGTTAATTAAGGGTTTCTTTGTCCTTGGCTTAATTGAAGAATTATTTCAAGTTACCCAGTATTTTGTAAAGAAAATAGCACACAGCATCTAGCTTCTCTTTTTTCTTCTTGAGATGAGGAATTATGTAGCTGGGGCTGGCCGGGAACTTGCTGTGCAGCCCAGGATGGCCTCAAACTCATAATCCTCCTATTCTGCTCCCTGAGTGCTGGGGTTACAGGCTTGTACAGGCACAGCAGCTTAATCAGTTTTTCACTTTACGTCTTAAACGGGCACTTTAGTACAGTTTCATATTTGGATTCCAGGCTAGCCCATGGAGAACACTATTAGAATTAATAACAGACAACAGAAAAACTGTAACGAAGAGATGGAAGAAAATGACCTAGACAAATAAGAAACAAGAAGTACAATTTTGGTGTTGAGTTTGCCCACTTATATCATTTAGGTACAATTTAATCTGGAAAACATTTATGTGGCTCACATATCCTGCACAAGAGTGACAAGAGTAGACAAGAACCTACCAGTGGGAAGACTGCGTGGCTAAATAGTGTTGCCAGTGAATACCATGCCTACCTAGAACTTCAAAGTGTGATCGTATTTGGAAGTGGTGTCACTAGGAGATAATTAAGGTCATCTTTGATTAGTGGTGGCCTTGTAAGAGGCAAATTTAAAAGCAGAGAGGACACCACTATGTAAGCACAAAGCCACACAAGGGCTTGATGTCTGACAGACTCAGAAACCGGAGTAACGTGGTTTGGGACACGGGCTCCTAGCATCCAGACTCCAGGAGAAAAGCAGAGGATGGTTTCCTCCCAGGGACTCTAGTTGGTACCAATTCACCTTGACTTTAGCATCCAGAATTGTGAGAGTCAGCTTGCTGGTAGTGCCTGATTGAGGCACTGTGTTACTGTAGCCTCAGGCAATGAAGGTGGACAACCTGGCGCGCAGAGGTGGCCTATGGGAAAGAACGAAGACCAAGCGAGTAGAAGTGTTGGATGGTCACACCTCATAAGATCTTTTTGTTTAAAATACGAACTCAGAGCACCTTTACGAGCCCGCAAAGGAAAACCAAACAAAAACTGAAACCCAGAGGTCTTGACTACCAAATCTTTTAGGTTTCACAAACATAAATCACCAAGGCAAGCAAAATTGGTTTCCACTTGAACCTTCTCAGCGGTTGTTCTGTTTATGAACTTGTCCCTGAATTCCAAGCTTCACCCAGCTACCCTACTAAGACCAGCAAAGAACTGCAGCCTACGGCCAGGAAAAGCAGATAAAGGAAATTGCCAGGAGGTCACTTCTGTCTGGCTTCCTTTGTGAAAGAATCTGAGATCTCCACAGAAATCCTGTCTATAGGATGCTATGTGGGCTGTCAAGGAACTACGCACTTTCCAAAGATAACACACGTACTGAAAAGCAATGGATCATTACAGTCAAGTCTACAACCTCCCAAGGGGCTTGGCATATTACTTCTCCCCCCCCCCATACTTCCAGTCATTGCTGGAGGGTGAAACTGTAGTCAAGACATAGTCCTTCTGTGACTTTTGAGAGTGTAAGAAAATGATGGTCAATAAGTGACCAACAAACGTGAAGGTGTCTACAATTTGCTACATATTGTGTCCCAAATAAAGAATTTCAAAGCACAAAATTTTACATTCCTTATTTGTTTTGGAATTTTCTCAGTCATACATAGAAGATACACATGAGCACAGGTGCCACAGTTCCTGATAAAATTAATCACACTAAAGCCCAAGCCGCTGGGCAATGTCAGTGGTGGCATTATTCTTAAACAGAGTCGCAAGAGAGTCATCGGATACAAAATTATTTTATCACAATGCCATTCAAAATACAGTATTCATTAGTTTAAATGAAACTTTTTTTTTTTTTTTAAAGTCAGGGCATTACTACGTAGCCCCGTCTAGCCTGAAACTCAATCCTGCCATCTCTTTCTCCCAGGTGCTGGAATTATAGGCATCCAGCTAAACTTATTTCTAATCTGCACTCAAAATAAACCTTAATATGTTCAGGGTAGCCTATGCAATTCTATTTGCCTCTGCCAGACTTCTTGTCCTTCATTTTTCTCTTCATTGTTAGCTTTGCATCACGAATGACCAATGGCAACAGAAGACAAATGTCAGCGTGGTGTGCTCACACCGTGACAGCACTTTGCTGGCTGGAACACCAGAACTCTTCTCATGAAATGTCACTCAGTCCCCAAGAAGGGCCAGCTCCCAACACAAACAAACTCTGGAAATTTCCCTCAGTAGTCTACAGTGCATTGCGGAGTATATTTTTCTGAGGCTGAGGATTCTTGAAAAGCTAGTTGCTATAAAACCAGCAGCATCGTTTCCCCACTGAGGCAGACAATGGGTCTCTTAGCTCAAAGGTTGCTCCTCAACAAGTTTCAGATTCTATGTACACTGCACAACCTCATTTCCTACAGGAAATTTTGGGCAGAAATAAGACCGACAGGACTAACTGAATCCCTCATATGCCTCCCCAGTAGCTGTTCTACTACTGAGCAAGGATCTCAGTAGTAGATCTGGCATCTGGCCAAAGCACTTTGCAAACCATTTTGTTCATATACCTTCACTGACCCCAATAGGAAGGCATGCATTCACAGATAGAGCCAGCTCTCTCAAGCATGGTACCTTATTCTGCTCACACACATATTGTATCCTCAGGGTGTCCATTGCTCTGATCATGGCTTGCATGGCGGTGAAAATGTTTTGGTAAACCAGCTTCGTGAAGCCCTTCCGATCTTCATCACTGTAGCCAGACCCATGGATTATCCTCATTTGCTTGATAAATGTGCTTTTTCCACTTTCCCCGGTTCCTAAGAGAAAAATAATGAGTGAAGAGCAGGTAACAGACTCAAAAAGGAACCCTGGCAGCATTATGCCACATCGTGGGTAGCAAGTTGGCAGGAGGGGCTTGGAAATAGTATACCAGAAACCCATGAGACAGTGCATCCTGAATCCCAGGAAATGCCCTCCCAACCTTCTTTCCTCAAACCTTTGAAATAAGATTCTTGTGCCTGACCACCTTGAACCTGAAGGCTTTGCTGATGCTCAGATTGACAGAGCCACTTCACTGTGCAAGAAGGATTTGAACAGCAAAACTCTTGGAGAAGAGGATAAGTAACTTGTCAACATTTACTTGATCTTGCACAATGAAGCATTAGTCATAATTGTGCCAAGTATCCTTGTGATTGCTGCTGTTCTTGTTCTAGTCTCTATTTCAGGGGGTCTCCAAAACTCTTACCACTAGCCTATGGCACCAACAAGCATATATCACTGAATTATCCCATTGGTCTTTAATGTACAGAGAAGTCCAGATATGACACACAGGAAACAGGATGCCAAAATTCCGTCTTTCTCTCAGAGATTCTGCTAAAAATGCAGTAAAAATATTTATACAATGAAGCTCAATGTCTAATATTGTCTGTGATGAATGGAATCAATTATATGAGATATGCATGGTTCATTTACAAGTATCGCTTTGTAAGTTTTATTAACAGTTTGGTTGTTAATAAGGTTTCCAGCTAAGATGAAGGAGACACTATCTCAGAACTAAAATTACTCACACTACTATCCTTTAAATAAATGTACTTTACAGTGAAAATTACTTTTATAATTTGCTATAAAATGAGAAAAAGTTGTCTAATAGTGTTTCTGTCATAAGAAAATCTTATGTGAAAAATATCAATTAAAACAACATAGAAATTTTGCTATAACCAAGGTCAAACACTATTTTCACGAAATGATTGTGACTCTCTATAGTAACTCGCTTTCCAGTATCTCAACAGAACATCCATATTGTACATATGCCATCAAAAATCCATCAGCTCTGGCCTGTTATTGACTCTTAGTCACACAGATACCATGTTGTACATTTTACTTTTTTTAATATTTTACTTGTAGAGAATGTATCTTCCAGAGTAGGAGGCTAGAATACATAATAGTTACTGACTTGATTAAAATTAGTGACTTTTTAACTTCTATTATGGACTTTTTCATACATCTTACCAGGGCCCTGAAAACTCTAAGAATAAAGTCTGTAGCAATTGCCCAAGTGAGAAAAAACTTTTTAAAAAGATTTTTCTGGTAAGGTTCTTCTTACGACTTTTTTTTAAAAGCAGCTTATTTACTTATTTAACATATACATACATACATACACACACACACACACACACACACACACACACACACTTGAGCGGTCTATCTGCATGTACACCTATACACCAGAAGAGGGCATCAGATCTCAGTAAAGATGGTTATGAGCCACCATGTGGGTGCTGGGAATTGAACTCAGGACCTCTGGAAGAGCAGACAGTGCACTTAACCTCTGAGCCATCTCTACAGCCCCCGTTCTTAAGATGTTTTGATTTTGTCAAAACACATACCTGCCCTCTTGTTTGTTTCTTCATTAAACTCACAATGTGTTCCCTTTCCCTCAAGAAGACAGACAAAGGTAGATAAGATAGCCTGGTGGTTTGGCCTACAACCCTTAGCAGCCTTCTCCAAAGGCACTTTCTTCTACACTCCAGCCATTCTGGCTTGCTCTCATCTTGATCTTCCTTGGGCCATTTACACAGGCTTACTCCTCGTCTTGGTCTTTACTCTTGGCCTGCCTGGCCATCCTGACGGGGTCAAGTTCCATATTCAGGGAATGGCCCTACGCACCGTCATGATGGATCTTCTCACCTTGATTAGATTTATCAAGATATTATCACAAACTAGCCTTAATCTAGAAAAGTGGTTCTCAACCTTCCTAATGCTATAGCCCTCGTGTTGTAGTGACCTCCAAACCTAAAATTATTTTCTTTGTTACTTCATAATTGTAATTTTGCTACTGCAATAAATCACAATGTAAATATCTGATATGCAGAATATCTGATATGTGACAGGATTGTTAGACCTCCCAAAGGGGTTGTGACCCACAGGTTGAGAACCGCTGATCTAGACGCTCTTACGGGTAGGCCTGAAGGCCTGTCTCCTCAGTGTCAAGCTGGTAACTAATACTAACCATTATACTAATGCTGGCTTTCTTTGTGGCCGGTTTGGTACCATCAATAAATATCGAGCAGTGCTCTACATCAGGTGTTTTCCTCAGTCACTCTCCACCTACTTCTTTGAGTCAGGGTCTCTCATGGAACATGTGACTCCTGGAATCAGGTAGGCCAGCAAATTCCAGAGATCCCACCTGCCTCCACCTTCCAAGCTCTGAGATCACAGCCATGTGCCACCAAGCTGGCTTTTTACATGGATGCCGGAGATACGAATTCGGGCCTTTACACCTACACAGCCAGCACTGTGTTGACTCAGTCACCAAGCCAGGTCCCTTCTTAGTTATCTTTAAACTGTACGGTTCGGTCCAGTCATGCTGAATAATTCAGTGCTGTGCAATCATTGTCAGAACTCTTTTAATCTCACAAAACCGAACCCCACACCCAGCCTTGATAAACACCCTTCGTTTCTGCTTTGTCAGTCTGACTACTCTTGGCACCTGGTCTATACGCAGTTATACAACCTTTATTCTCTTGTGCCTGACTTATTTCAGTTAGCATCCTCAAGCTGTGTCCATGTTACAGCACACCCAGGAGTCATTTCCTGAATAGCATTTTTCTGAAAATTTCAAATAAAAGATATATTTTTAAAAAATCTACCAGGTTGCACCTACCTACACTACCCAACACATGGGAACATAGAACATGCCAATTCTCTGTGCCCCACCCTGTGTTCCATGTGTTTCAAATGATTCCAACCACATAAGTAAGCAAAGAAAGGCCTGAGAAGGAGTCTTACTGTGATAGAATAGTTCTAAGATTAAATAGAAAGGGCTGAAGAGATGGCTCAGAGGTTAAGCATACTGACTGCACTTCTAAAAGTCCCGAGTTCAATTCCTAGCAACCACATGACTTATAACCATCCATAATGAGATCTGGTGCCCTTTTTCTGGCCTGCAGGTATGTATTCAGACAAAACACTATATATGTAATAAATAAATCTTTAAAAAAATTAAATAGAAAAAGTAATTAAAATAACACTTACAATACTCTTTAAATCTTTGGTTTCAAATAACACACACACACAGATAGGTTGGAGGCAAAGAAGAGACGGAGGAGGGTGAATGACACCAACCACTAAAGGCCACGATCAAAAAAACAAACCATTTGGGGAGGAGGCACCCTCTTGTTCTCATTCAAGCTGCCACACAACCCAGCTGCTGCCCTCTTTTTGCAGAAGAGAAACTGGGAATCATAACGATTACACAGGTTGTTCAAGTTTGCGCAGCTTGTTAGTGTAGGCCTGCCTGTGAATCCAGGTCAGCACCTGCACGTGCTCTTCGGGTGGCAGCTGTGCACTTCCTACCTGGATGGAGATTACAACAGGAAAGGCTTGCTCCTCCAGCCTGCAGAACTGTGCAGCCTGGGGGATGGCTCCCCCGCAGGGGACAGCAGGCAGGAGGGAGTGAAGGTGGGAAATAATATCACCCTTTTCACAGTGACAGCTGTGACAGGTGAAGGGACTGATGAGCCCAAGCCAGGGGTCCGAGCTGGCCCCATTTACCTGCTCCAAAACAGAAACTCCACAGACGGACTTTGAGCATACATTTGTTCCTTTATTCAGGGAAAAGTAAAATGGAAACCTAAAGGCATGATTCTGGGGATGAAAACTACTAGTGGTTTTTACAGGGTAGTTTTTAATTTTTAATACCCTTTAGTCAGTTATCTTCTAAAACATGGTTTTGGGCCCATGCTGCTAGGCTAATTGTGTCTGTCCAGAATGAGCCTGCTGAGGATCCTCATATAAATGGAAAACAGAAGGAACCCTCAGTTCACAGCATATTTTTGGTCCAAATAGGGGCCAAGCATTTTGACTAGAAAGTAAGTTTTGGTGTTAGATAGTAGGGATTCCTTTAGGTAGGATGAGGGCTCCATTCCCGGAGGCTTTCCAGCCAGACTCGGCATGCAGCAACACAGAAATGAAGAATGATTCATTTATAAATCCAGTTTTCAATACAAATATTGAAACCTCTCCATTTGCTTTCCATTTCTTCACTTTCACATTTGAAAATAAAAGCCAGTGATGGCTATCAAGTACAGTCTCAGGCCATTCAATGGCATCCTAGTCAGGAAAGGATGCCAGTGTATACAATGAGTGTCATATATGGCCGACCATGTCAGATATCCACGTACACGATTGGCTCAAAGATTGTACTGGAACCGAGAATTCCCATCATGCTGTATTGTCACTTAACATTTAATGTTGAGGTGTGCCCAGGTCCACAAACACCACGGTGTATAACTGCCTGTAGCATTCGGAACAGAGCTATGTCACATAGATTTGCAGTCTCTACACACAGCCTAAACACGAAGAGGCTGGATCATCTAGGTTTGTGTGAGTACAGTCTGCTACGTTTGCATACTGATGAAGTTGCCTAACGTGCTTTTCAGAACATATGACCATCATCAAGTTAGGCGTGTCTGCACTTTTCAGTTCTTATCAGTGTCAAGGGCCTGCTTGTGTGAGCTGCACACTTACCACCCTCGTCTCACAGCAACTGCCTCCCATAATGAAGTCAGTGGACAACAGCTAGCCAAACACTCAGACTCCCTGCTAACTGCGGGTGAGGGTCATGGGCCTCTGGCCTTGCAGGGCTGGGACCTCTCCTATAGTAGTGTTCTTGACTCTACTGTCTGGTAGTGTCTTCTAAGCCTTACTCATGTGTGTGATTTGGGCATCTCCATACGACACACCTCTGTGATTACCTAATAGTTTACTTTATCTGTTGTCCAAATAAATTTGTTATGAGATATGAAAAACCTGTATT